CCAACGCCGGGACAGGAGACAAGACTCATCCACCCTCATGCGAAAATCATCATCCCGGTAATCTACATCTTGGTCCACATAGCAGCCAGCACACACCAGCATCGACAGCTAGTTGCTAGGCAGACAGATCTGCTCAAGTTGCTCTACCAGCAGATTGGCAACCGAGACAAGGAGGTCCGTGTCGCCGTGTGCCACTTCATCATAAACCTTACAGGCCACGACGACGAGAGTTTGCAAGAATGGTCTATGAGGGCCAACGAATTGAAGAAGCTAGGATTCCACACCAGAATGGAGTTTCTCAAACACAACGACAGAGATCTCGACGTGAGAGAACGCGCCAAGACGGCAGTATACCAGCTTGACAAGGCGTTTGCTTATTAGAATGGAAAACCACCCTGGTTAAAGGCTTGGAATGATTTAAATAAGAGAAAGAAACGGGAAGAATCAAACGAAGAAACGATTGAATTTTACGTTGGAGATGAAGATGATCCAGCCCTGTTGAGTTCATTGAGTATATTGAATTCAATGAGAATCGATGACCGACATGGAGATGGAGCCGAAGATGGAGACGGATACGTCATTAGTGAAGGCGAAGCTGAAGTTGAACATGAAACCGCAAGGGAATCCGATAAAGAAAACGAGGACGAAGTTGAAGATGGAGACGCAACCATGGCCGCAGGTGCAAACGAAAATGAGGATGGAGACGATAACGAACATGAAAGCGCAACTGAAAGCGGACTGGCAGGTGATGATGAAACTGGAAACTATACGTATAACTACTAGTAATAACCCTCGATGATGGAGTGACATCGAGGAGAGGCGGCTCGCTCGAGCAAGAATGCGGCAATGGGCAACCGACAAGGGCTGGGATTCAGTTTGACGCCAGTGGTGGAAGAACGAAGGTAGCGATGAAGATGAAAGAGGGGGAGGGATACTCTTGGATTTGCTTTGATACTGTCCTTTTTTTTCTTAATCTCTTGGTATGCTTACTTCTCTGATACGAGCATGGATATTGGGAGTAACGGCTTTATAACCTAAAAACCCCAAAAGCAAAGAAAGAGGAAAGGGGTGGAACAGGGCATGTTTAATTACAAAGCGACTATCGTACATTGCTCAAAAATGACAACAGCGAATTTGTTCTTTTCTCTTCATTCTCTTCTTTCTTGAGATATGCATGTTACGTTCTCTTAAGATCTATTTGGGTGGGCTTCGTCTAGAGGCTCGTGACGTTGGGACCAGAGTAGGGTAGTAGCTGCTTACCCTTGGGTTCGAGTAATTCTCCCTGAAGCTGATTCATATGTGCATGGCATGTCTTGAAGGTGTCCAATCTCAAAATGGAATTCTGAGCATAGTGACGCTAAGTCTCATTTTTCATCAGAATGAAATATTAGCAAATGACCAGAAGGCGACTGATCTATAGCTTAATAGGAATCTCCTCAAAAAAGTATCAACGCATCATATTCACAGTAATAATAGATTCACAAACTTTTGTAAAAAGATGCCTTGCCTACATTAAACACAGGCCATTTCTGTAAACTAAAATCCGATTGGCATATCATCGCGTCTCTTTTCTATTTATATTCATCATACATACCCTATAATAAACACAAACTCCATCCACGCTTCCTCATCGACGATATCAGTGTCCACTACATATACCACTCACTCTTTTCTCTATATTTACTTTTCTTCGACGAAAGCATAGCCCCCCGTCATGCACGTTGGTCCGCTCATACATGTTAGTATTTCAAATAGTACATATTACTATCTTCCGTTGGGTCGTGATCAAAAACACAGTAGAACCCCTGTCAGAAAATCTGCAAGTTTTAAAAATCCCATGTCACCAACGCAAAACACACATTGACCCAACCAACAACGCCCGATTCCGAAAAGAAAGAAAGAAAAGGTTCTAGTGCTACAACAAGGAATAGATAGTATATGCCGCCTATTCACGGGCGGTAATTTGAGTCCTCGCGTGTTGCATTCAAAAACAAGAAATAAGCCCAATGCAGGGAGGCAAAAAGAAGATTCAAGAGAAAACAACAGAGAGGATCATGCCTATACCTATGCCCCTACACGTATACGCGCGCACGCGATTTGTTAATGAAGATGGAGAAGTACTAACAGTTATTTCTTCGACGAGGAGATATGGAGGCGGAGTTTAATCAGAGAGAGAGCGAGCGAGAGAAAGAGAGAGAGAGAGTGATGCTACCACGACCCTTTGATGGAGTCCTCTTGTCTTCGCTGAGACAGAAATTGATACTATTCTTGACTCGAAAGAGGCAAAGCAGATACGCCCCCCCCAGACATCTAGTAGTACTATCTACATTGCCAATATTAGCAACATGCAGCAGCGGTATAAACTTGATGTCTAATCTCACCCGCAAGCTTAGAGACCAGTGTCTCGTCTCATCGCGCAGACCATATTCGTTATACTCTCAAGCTCAATTTCAAGATACATAGTTTGTGGGGACTAAAACATCCCACACTTTTATGACCTCAACTTCTTGATGAGCGAACCATCCATCTATCCATCTGTAGCATTTTCACACAAGCAGACACTACGGATCAATTTACCGAAAAAGAATCACGTCTTAACTTTAACGATTTGGGCCAAAGCATATTCTGATAAACCTTCGATCTAGTGTTATAACTGACAGAGAGCTGGAAAAAGGGGCTGCGGATGGCCATCGCCCGTCCGCGCACAGGTATGCGGCATGCTAAGAAGAGGCATAGCTCTGCCGATCAAGAAGAAGGCGAAAAGAGTCTTGTTTAGAACACAGATGGCACAGCCAACAGCCCCAAGATAAGACTCTGCAAGATTTCACTCTGTAACGATTAAACGTGTTCACAGGGCGGAAAGGGGGACCAAGTCACATGTACAGTAAGGCTCCAAACGCAGCGGCAAGACAGAGAGAAACTAGGCAGCATGTCGCCGGAGTGTTTTGCGTCCAATAGTTGGAGATAAGGCGTAGGGAGAACTGTTTGTGCCACCATCTCAGTCACCCCCCAAGGCGATGGCAGTAGTAGTAGTGAGGTATCTCGACATGTTCTTAGACACGCAGAGCCTTCTCTGAGACTTCTTGCTGGCACTAAGTCGGGGGTTGGAGACCCGGATGGCCCCTTGTGGAGCACATTTTGTATTACTCGACAGGTGGTAATACTAGGTGATTCAGCCCATGGCGGGGGGGTACGGTAATGATGGGTTATGCCAGTTGTTTGCTCCTATGGAGCTCGCTGCTCTAGCGCCTGTCTCTGAATCTCCGGGTAGTACTTATTTTCTATTAGAGGACGAGATATGCCATGTCTCAAGCTAGTACAAGTCCACTGGATGTAACTCCAACAGAGCTTTGTTGCTTGTGGGCTTTGGACCATGTGCTCCCGTGACGAAATTGCCCTGGCGGTGACTGGCAAAGCACCAATACCTCTCATCTAGCACGGCTCTCGCGACTAGCCTTAGGAGACTCGATGAATCAGAAACGCCCATTTGGACGATACGCCCAACCAACAGGGCCTTGTTAGTCCAGCCACCACCACCGCTTCGAGTGCCACAAAATTCCCGGATGATCCTTAGATGACATGAGTAGGGGGCCGGAAACTTGCAAACTTTGAACGACGCTATGAATGAGACATGCATAGTAGGTGACGGTCCTTGGTCATGTTAGTGAAATGTCAATCCTTGGCTTCTCATGTATGTGGTCTAGCGCTCAGTTCCGGCTCCTAGCTGAGCGCGTTCCACGTGGATTCCATAGGAAACAAATGGATACTGCGGTTGGATGCGAACTTTGCTTCTCCTGTGGTTGAGTTGAGTGGCTGGTGGTAAATGCTCAAGGAACTGTGTCCCAGCTGAGGTTAGAGTTGCAGCTAGTGCTAGCGTTCGAGCAGATCTGCCTTAGCTGCCTTCTTCCTGGGCTAGAAGCCGTCTGGTGCTGGAAACGTGTCTGAGTATGAGGAATGAGAGTACGTAGCACAGTACAGTAGAAGGTAATTACCCCATATACCTACCTATACAGATCTGGACGAGAGTTGGATGATCTGCGGGCTGCAAACTTGCATTAGCACGAACGATGATGCACTTGTTCGAGGACAGGCTATGATGCCAATTGTGTCCGCAGCTTTGACCATCTGACGGCGGCGTGGCCTGCAGATATGTGCACCCAGTAAACGCCAGCCTTGGCAAGCACAGACTCTGCGAGCAAAGCCAAGCAAAGGCATTCAATTGTCCAAATTCAAAGATGATGCCGGATACAGTGATGGGACCTGCTAGTGCTGATCAGGTAGCGCATATACAACGCTCGTGCTCTGGGCGGCCAAGCCGGCAGCGACACCTTTTTGCGACCAACATGGAAGCCGCCTGCGCCAAAGCATGGTGCCACCTTGGCGTGAGCCGTCGGCAGTGGGCGAGAGGGCAAGAAGACGTATTATAGCATCCCTAAAATCTTTGGCGTGTTTGTGCCAACGCAGTTACGGACGGAGCTGTGCGAACAAACCCCCGCTGACTTGTGAATGCCTGTTGGGCCGCCATGTTGGCACAAGTACCAGCGACCGGTTACAGGATCTCTGCTGGGGACCTCGCGATCCATTGGCCGGGTGGCGAATAGGTGCACGAGTCGTTTGGTGGCTGTTGGAAGCCGTGTTGTTTGCTGGAATGCTCAGCTGAGAGAGAGTTCCATGGACTTGGTATCGACGGTTTCGGCACTGCGTGTAGACGCCCGAAACCTCGACCTTGGGCTTGGGACTACGAATTGGCCAGTCTGTGGCTGCGGAGTGTTGCCGCTACTTACTCGAGCTCTTCGTGCCGCGGGTTCGGAGGAGACCAGGCTTGAGAAGGCAAATTGGGATGTAATCGTGCCATGCTGCGAGCCCTGGTGCCACGCAGTCGGGGATTCGTGGTTACATACTCTAGTATACTGTACCACTCCTATCGACTACCGTCAATAGCGGTTGTCAGTCAAAACCGTCGGGTTAAGCTGTGATGAATAGTAGGCCTGTAGGTACTACTACTGCAATCAAAATTAGCAGCCAAACTAGCAATAACTCCCTGTGCTACTTCTTGGTGCTACACACGTTGGGGCACAGACGCCTAATACGTGCTGGCCGTGAACAAGGCTTGCTGCCCCTTGGGAGCCAAGCCGAGATCAGTAAATGAGCAATCACTTACAAAGAATAGGCCTCGAGAAAATTCGGCTGTGGGGCAAGCTCGCAGGGCACACAGCCTTGGACAGGCCGCTCTGCAAACAGGGCCTATTCCATTCGGAAGCCTACTGTAGCTGTCTATAGCGCCACGATGCGAGACACCAATTGGCCCGACGAGTTGAGTAGAGGTGACGGTGGAGCGGAGCCCAAGACTTGGAAGAGGCGAGGGCGCAGCTGCTGTTCCGCCTACCAAGATTAGAGGTAAGGGGCCATCGCGGCACAGCGGTCGTGTGCAGCCGGGCGACGCTGATAGGCTCTGAGGGTAGCTCTGAGGGTAGCATTCCAGCGGCTCCAGCAGTTCCAGCACCACATATACGGACGGGCTTTCGGACGGGCAGGACTTGGAGGGGGTGCGAAGCTAATAAGTCGGACGCGATCTGGTAAATAGGGCCGCAAGATGATCTCGGCCGACACGCCCAATCGGGTTGCTGACCTTCATCCAATGCTGAAGCGGCGTGGCACCCGCCTGGAAGCATATCCTTGACTGAAATAGAACGAATCTGCCCCCCCTGGAAAAGCGTTTCGTCGCTGCATCTGACAGGAAGGGGATCGTACTTGTAGATGATAATGAATGAGCAAGGAAATGAAAGAGTTGAACAGGGGCATAGTAAAGTTTTTTCTTCTTCTCTCTTTCTCTTTCCATGTCCAAGAGTTTCTGGAAGAGGAAGCTATCGCTGAGGAAGAGCCTCGGCTGGACACCTCCTGCCGCAAGCATTAACACGAAGATGAATACACCAGCAGGAGCATACGGGCTACGTGCTTTGAACAAGTCAATAGGAGCACGGCCAGCCGATGCTCTTGCCCTTGTGAGCTGGAGCGTCGTGTGTTTTCCTGCCGAGGCAGCGACGTTCTGTAGTAGCTTCGTATCATCAGGTACCTGCAGCAGCAAAATGTAGCAGCAAAATGTAGCCGCAAAACTCGCCGGCAGCAGCACGCTCGTAGGAACAAGCTCCCTGCCAGTACGCAGTGAGAGTAGGTGCTTGTTCCTTCACAATTTCTTCTTTTCCCACTCTCGATGTGCATCCAAACGAGTACGACGTAGCCCATAACTTGCCTCTGCCCATGCAGTTACGACATGTCTGAGCACCGGGAACGGGGCCGGAATCCAAACATGTCTTGTAGAAAACCAAACGTTTCCTTTTCAAACCATCTTCCTTGCAGCATGTAGGTACTGGGCTCATCCCTTCACTCCCGGATGCCGCGTGGCCCTGATAACTTTATGCAGCACTAAGCATGACATGGAATGGCATGTAACGGCTCGCTTGCCAGATTGTGGCCTGTCGTGGCTCGAAGAAAAGAAGAAAAGGAACACATGGACGTTTGAAACCCACCTAATTTCGGAGTGGCTTCCGTTGTATCCTGGTGCCTGCTCTGAAGCTGATCATGTCTTTGCGTTTCCATAACGGGGGCCATGCAAGGTCCACCAAACAGGTACGATTTTCGGTGCAATAGAGACGAGCCTGCTTGTAGTGTTACAAGCACACGGCGTTACAGGAGAAAAGAGAGATGTAGGAAGGAATAAGGTACTTGTTCTTGTGTGGCAGCTACTGATAACGCAGCCTCGCCGTTATTGGCCATGTGTCCTGTATGGATGGTAGGTATTGCTGCTATTTCGAGATGCATATTCTTACCAAGTACTACACAGACGCAGAGCTTGGAGCACAGACGCAGAGCTTTCAACGGGACAGTCATTATTCACACCATCGAAAACTCTTGCACGACCTTGCCTCGAGAAAATCGACTTTACAGTACGGTACATGCGAAGCACTAGATTGCTGGCTGCAGTCAAAATGATGCCATCGGTCTGATACCTATTGCCTGCAATAGCTTCGTTGGGACTCTCCTGCGAACAAAGCCAGGCGCGCTGTAGATCAATCTCAGCGGGGAAAAAATTATGGAGGCGGCCAGGATTGGCGGGGAAATTCTGAGCAGCAGGAACATCAAACGAACTGGCGATGGTGGTGGCGTCTAGCATAGGTAGGTTCTCAAGTACTGCACGGTACGGAATCTTGCATTCTGCCCATCTGCAGAGCACCATCGGACCTGTGCCTCTACTCTTGTTTCTTTTCTTAGGTTTGCTCAGGCCACCAAGCGCACATGCCGTCCAAAAGGCACGATAAGCGTTCGGAGCACTTCCGTGCTTCTTTTCTTGCCTCTTGACGCGCTCCGGGGCTTTTGCCGTGCCTTGCCTGATAACATTTACGGGGTACAGAGAGCGACTATGACGGTATTTGCGTGGGGAGCCGCTGGTGGAGGGTTGCAACGGCAAAGCTGCGATTACCAGCGTCGACCAGTAGCATGTTGTGCAGGCATTGCCAGTGGCGATGAAAATAGACCGCAGCCTTGAAGGAATTAACGCCGCAGGCGGAAATACTTTTGCAGCATGTTCGTGAGAAAAACGTGCTCGTCTACCGGAAGTACAGCGACCTGCAGGAATAGCATGTGGACATGCTCCGTGGTATCGCTTCTTCCATACTGTCAATACTTACGATACAAGAGGCCCATTTACGCCTGCTTGTACGTCAAAACGCCCCGGGTCTTACTGGCAACACAGCAATATTGTGTTCCCCACGACATGACTGACTGATTGATCACAAGTACAAGCAACAAATTGTGTCACCGTTTTGGCAAATCCCAAATGCGTCACTTGTTACTGGTAGGAACGAACTGATGGTATATACCTAGGTACATGATCTCGTTGCAAGTTTACAGGGGGTTTCAAGGTCACCATGCACCGAGAGGCAAAAGTGCTCGTACGAGGTAGCACGCAGCAAAATGCGTGCCCTTTAGGGGATAGACGCCCAAGGCACAGCAGCGCTACCGGATGAGTGCGTCAAAAAAGCGTGGCACAACTGCTGCAGGTGGATGTCCAGTAAATGGCCCTACATATGACATGTCAGATTGCATGATCCGACACGGCAGTGCCTCGTATGGGACCGAAGCACGAGATCCACAAGTCCATTCTGTGGCCCCCATACCCCGGCAAGATTTTTCGTTTTGTCTCTTTCGCGAGCCTTGTTAATACTGTACTGCAGCGTACAGTACAGCACTCGAACAAGTACAGGTATAGGTATGCATAGACTGAAGCTCCTCTCTCCTTTCTCTTGTGCGACTTTGCGATGCCCGTGCTCAAAAGAGGCGGATGGCTGGAGAGATGGAGGAAGAATCCCCTACTGCCAATAGCCAGACACACACTTGGAAGAGCGCCAGACTAACGGATTCATTGTGCGATCTTAGTCACGAATGGGCAAATGAATGGGCGACGGGTCTCTGGGGGATGACAAGCCGCCAGCGAAAAAAAAACGATACTCCCCGTTTCTCTTCTATCGAGGTGGATAGGGCGGGACAACCATGTGTCAAGAGAAGACTGGGGCGTCTAGTCTAGGCTGACGATGGATGGAGATTGCTGTAGCACTACTGACCGCAACTGGTAAGTTGACTAGGATTCTGCGAAATGTGCCAGCAAGGGAAAAGGGAGGCAGGGCTGGCGACTAGCAGACAGACCCATGGCGGGCCGGCGTCGGCCGAGTGGTCAAGCTTGCTTAGCAGAAGCAGATCCAACGGGTTCTGGGTATTCTAGCTGGCGGCTGTTGCTAGCTACCATAGTATAGTAGCAGTAGCTCGCTCTGTCAGTGTCTCGTACTGTACCGTATGCATCTGCGGCCGAGAAGGGCAGAGATGGATACCAGATGGATACCAGACGGATGGCATCTTCTGAGGGCTAGACCTGAGACGCAGGCAACGGGATGCTGGGATTGGACGGACGCTGCAGCATCCGGGGGGGCTTGTTCGGGTCACTCCCAGTCGTCCACGAGGCGCTGGCAAGAAGAGGAGAAAGAGGAGAGAGAAAAGCAAGGCATTTGTGCGTGGTACCAGTAGCGGTACAATACTGTACACTACAGTATATGGCCATGCTGGTACAGTAACGTGGTACTAGGCAGCCTACCCGATGCGGATGCTGGCTGTCTCACAGACGGTCTCTCTTTGCACCCGGTACCTACCTTGGTGGCCGGGCGATCTGGCTTGTCGTCCGGACTGTGTCATCGAGCATCACTAGCACGAGCGGCACTGTAGCAGCTACCTGCCTTCTGCACGCCGCCAGCTACCAACAATACCATTGATGTGCCTACCTGACGAAGCTGGGCCAGATGACTGCTGCGAAAACGGGCCTCCGTTCCATCGACACACCATCCAATGGCCAGTCATTCCCCAGGGCCGGTGCCAGACCCGTGGGATCGCTCTCCCCATTGCCCGTCAAGCGCAAATCACTGACGCATCCAACAGCGCTCCCATCAATCTCACTCGGCAAAGGACCAGCGAGCGAGTGGGCGACAATCAATACCGGCAACAGGATGCCAGTCCAGCACGGGCCACGGCCACCCACGGGCCACCCGCGGGCCACTCACGGCGCCTGGCCCTCCCTCCAAAACCCTGGTTGCGCGCCCCAGCCAGTCCCAGCGAGTACCATCCGGCCAGCAGCCCCAGCAAAATAGCGCAGTCAGAACGCACAGGCGAGCGGCTCTGGTATCACCGACGCCATTTCGCCCGCATGCCGTGCCAATGGTAGTCGTGCGAGACGCCCGTCCCTTGCTCGGGTCTGGATCCACCGCAATATGGGAAACCTTGGGATGTGGCGCACACCCCGGCTCCGTGGCCCAGGTTCTTGTCGCCAGGAAACGCGAGGCACGCTCTTGCTGCCCGCGACGCCGCGTGGTCCAAGAAGCTTTTGTCCCAAGCTTGAGTGCCTCCCAGCGAACTGAGGTAGGTACCTCTACCTAGGAAGGTGGTGCTCGCTACAGATTCCAAGCCATTGGCGGCTGGCGCCTCTTTTCTTCTTCTGCTTCTTCTCTCTAAGATATGGAGGCGCTATTCCCCCCTCTTCTTTGCTTTTTCTTTGCCAGGGCTTCGGACTTTGAGGGATAACTACTAGCACTAGAGGGAAACTCAGCTGAGCTGGCTGCTGCAAGGCGGTATCTTGAAGAGCAGTCCGGTCTGCGCCACCGAAGCCGCAGTGATTCCAATAGCGATATCGAATAGGCCTACATTATTGGATTGATGCTGCTTGCTTGCCTGGACGGAGTGACAGGTAGGTAGTGGAGCCGTCTGGCTTTCCTGTGGGCGGATTGAATGTGTGAAGGTGAGCGATGGACTGGAGTACCTTACCTTTGCTTGCTTGAGCTCGTACAGATACTTTCTCTGGATTCGCCAGGGACAACCGGCAAGTGCTCTGTGCCGGTAGCTCGAAGGCGCCAATTCTGTGCATTTTGGCGGGCAAGCAGCGGCATTGCTGTTTAAGCAGCGGCATTGCTGTTTAAGCAGCGGCATTGCTGTTTGCGGAGCGGCAAGTTGATAGCTTTAAGGAGCTGCCACTACCATCCACTACCTTAGGACGCCACACGCGTGGTGCAGGCACAGTAGGTACCTGTGCTACGGTCCCGCACCGCAGGGCCTGTGACGTATCATTGAATTGCTTTTTTTCTCTTCCTGTAGGTACCTTCACTTGGCCGGCGACTTTTCTTTTCTTTTTTTTTCCATTTCTTTTTTTTTTCCGGGAGGCGCCCAGAAACCACCACATCGCCCATCATCCTTGCTCATGCCATCAGCCCATCGCCTGACTCAGGCCATGCATCTGCCCGCTCGCTTTGCCTGGTTCCTTCTTTTTGCCCGCAACGCAAGCCGCCAATTTTCTTCTTCTTAATCTTAACGTCAAACACGGGAACGGGGGTTGCTGCAGTAGCAGCACCAGCACAAGCACAAGCATCAGCACTGTCAAAAAAAAGCTACACGCACTGCTGGCGAAGCAAACATGCTGCGACCGACCGTCTGGAACCCGCTGGGGAACCAAGTAAAAAAGGCCGGGCGTGGAGAAGCCGAGCCAGCCACCCCCTCTGCCTGTATCGCAACCAATAGATTTCTAGTCACCAGGGCTGCAGCCTCTCATCAGCACGAAGCCCAAGCGACAGCGTGTTTCTTTTTTGGCTTTTCTGCTTCCTCCCATGTGCTCCCATGTGTGCCCGTGCTGGTGAGCATATGAAGCACGGTACCTGTACTTGGCTGGCGAGCTGCAGCAGCCTGTCTCGTCGCTTGCAAAGTACAGTACCTAGGTACTCAAATACCCAGAGCGCTGTGGCACCAGATAGCAATACCACTACAGGGGCCCGAGCTGCACTAAGCTGGCTAGCTTGTCCCATTAATAGGTGCAGTCCCTCTGGCACCAGCACTGGTACGCACCAAGTACTGTACATTACCGGCAGGGTCCAGGAGCGGTCCGTCCTGGCACAAGAACCAGCAACTCCCTGCGGGCACGAGCATTACAGCGGTTCCGAGTGGGCGTTTTAGTGCTCGTGCCGTATAACTCAGACAGGCCCTCGGTAGCGGTACCAGCAAGCAGAAGCTGGGGAGACGATCCTTCCTCCTCTTGCTCCTCCCGAACGAACCCAACCGCCATCCGGGCTCTCTCGAATCTCCACACCCCTCTGCCATCTGCTCTGCGCCATTCACCCCCTCCCAGCAGCCACCCCTCCACGCTCCTTTAAGCAGAGCAGAAAAAGGGAAAAACGAAACCCTTTGCGTCCTTTCGGCCAATGCTTACCTGATTGGTCCTGGCCCAAGTCCTGGACATGCCAGGCTCAGCTGCGACCCGCTCCTCTAGTCCCAGATTCCCGGGGCCCTCCCTCATTAAATGTGGCTCTGGCTCTAGTCGGAGCGCCTGTCCAGCCCTGGCCAGCGTCTCTCACCTCTTTGGCTCTTACTACCTACACGGTCGCACATCCACTTCTTTCGTCCTCCCGCTGGCTTCTCTCCTCTTGCACCTTTCACGCACACAACCTCGAGAAACGCCCAAGGCTTGAGAGACGACAGACGAGACCAGCGAAGGAGGATACAGGACAGCACGATCAACTCGGTCGCTCTCGATACAACCTGTTGTCGCTGCTATACATGCTTATGCTTATACGACTCTCGACTACCCGCGTACTGTAGTTCTGGGCTGAACAGCGGGTTCCTTGCTCTCCCGCCCTGACGGTTTGGCGGCCGGAGACTGCCTCGAGTCATTTGAAGGTGAGTTGCGTATTCCTCAGCAGACAGAGCTACATGTCTCTTCTTCTTTCTTGTCGCTGCTGCCGTCCTCTCCTCGGTCTCCTAAGTCATGGCCGCCAAGTCAAGTTGTAGCACTAACACGACAAAGCAGCCTCTGTTTGATTTACTCATATTCTTCTTCACCCAATTATACGTTTTCCACGCGACATCATGGCGACGCCGTCCAGTGTGGCCTCTTCAACAGGCCAGCGGGACATGATCCAGCGCATTCACCGCGTGACTAGAGAGAACCGTCACCTTTGGTACCAGTTGACGGTTCTGCAGCAGCCAGAGCGAGCTCGTGCATGTGGTTCGGGAATGAAAGGTACGGTTTTGAGTGTGGCAGATGGATGGATGCATCGCTCTTCTCCATCTCCTTCTTGTTTTGCAAAAAGTCATGCTTTTTTGCTTACTCCCATATAGCAAACAGCGACCGACGACCCGTTGATCCGCCGCCTGTTGTTGAACTTCGCATTATCGAGGGTCCCTCCGTTGAAGAAGGCAAGGACATCACTTTCGACTACAACGCCAATTTCTTCCTTTATGCGAGCTTAGAGCAGGCCCGTCCCATTGCCCATGGCCGTGTCCAAAATGGCGCTACCAACAACCCTCCCATCCTGACTGGTGTTCCTGCGTCTGGCATGGCTTATCTCGACCGGCCTACTGAGGCTGGATACTTCATCTTCCCCGATCTCTCCGTCCGACACGAGGGCTACTTCCGCCTCTCCTTTAGCTTGTTCGAAACGACCAAGGAGGCCAAGGACTTTGATCTGGAGCCTACAGAATCCGATCTTCCCCCGGGTGTTGACTGGAGAATGGAAATTAAGACGCAGCCCTTCAACGTCTTCAGCGCCAAGAAGTTCCCTGGACTGATGGAAAGCACTCCCCTCAGCAAGACTGTTGCCGACCAAGGATGCCGAGTCCGTATTCGCCGTGATGTGCGCATGAGGAAGCGTGATGGCAAGGGTAGCGGCTATGACCGACGCGAAGAAGAGTATGCTCGGCGTCGGACTGTCACGCCGGCTCCCGCCGAGGATCCTCACGGCTTACGGGCCAGATCCGTCAGCAACGCGAGCGAGCACCGCGCGCCCTACATGCCACAAGAGCCATCACGACGACCATCTGCTGCTGAAAGCTACCATGCTCCCTCAATGCACCACGCGCCGCCGCCGCCGCCTCCTCCTCCCTCTTATGACGCACCGCCGCCATCTGCTCGTCCTGGCCATCTTGCCTTTGGCGACTCAGTAGTGCCGCAATATGGAGCGCCTGCTCCTCCTCGCCCATATGCCCAGCCGCAAAGCGCTCCAATTCCTCCTGCAACGCCTACTGGGCCATACCCAACGGCAGCCTCGCCATCTCCGTATGCCAAGACAGACTCGCAGCCGTACAATTACAGTGCTCGACCTCCGGCGCCTAGCCCATCCCCAATTCCACCCATGAGACACGCCATTTACGATAGTCGGCCCTCAGATCCATACTCATCGACTGAGAGGCGACCCTCGCACGCTTCTTACCCTCCATCTGGGCCGGCGGCACCGTACTCTGCACCCTCTCTTCCACCGCCGCTGCCTAGACGGGAGTCGTCGACTCAATCATCCTTGGCGCCCCTCAGGATTGCGTCTTTGGTGTCGCCCCTGCCACCCATCGAAGCCCAGACGGAGCCACTTCCTCCTCCGCCAATGATGTCAACAGGGGGCAAGAGAAAGCACGACTACGTCTTCTCCCAGAGCACTAAGCCGTTGTACAATGGTCAGCGACAAATTGATGCTCACTTCAGTCACGGTTACCGTGGAGTCACCCCCGAGCCTGATCAGGGTGTATACTCAAGAGCCGACGGCCACATCGGCGTTGTTACTTTCAACCAATACCAGATATAAACTTCTCGGCATGCTGCAAACTCGACTCCGATGTATGAGTGGCTCAAAATTATTGGAGTATCATCTGCATTTCATTTTGATGTGTGATAGATTTCTCATGGGCGTTCTGGGGCTTGTATCGACTATTAAATACCTCTTTATTATTTCGCAAGAGGGCAACATGAATGGGCTAGTGATTTATGGAGTTGGGGTACGACAAGTAGCTTGAAGCTTTTATAAAGCAAGAAGGCTCGACAGAACACAGCAACTTTTTTTTTTTTTTTTCGCTTTATATACATATATATCATGGTTATTCTTGATTCTTTCCTCCAACAGGTTGCACCACGCATAGATTGCCGAAACAAAAAATGAGAGACGTGAATGCGACGAGATTACTATTTTACGCTCTACGTTGAATTCAGTGCTCATATCTAGTGTTAATTTAGGGCGGCATCGCTGTTTAGCTGTAACTATCATTCATTATAGTTGCCTATTTTTCTGATGGATCTTCTTTTCTGTTATATCTGTTGTTCATTCGAATGATGCAATCTATTAGCACAAGTAGTTGTTTCTTTTATTTTTCTCTATAACGGACAATGTCCCCCATATTTTATTATTTTGAACGTCACTGTCTCTTATCATTTTCCTACTTTTAAAAATATGATTCATTATCAGTCTGCTAATTCTGGATAATGTATGCAACAATTTTTTTCAATTTTTCTTTTCCTTTTCCATGGCAGCTTGGCTTTGTGACTACCAGTGTAATAAATGAATTACTGGGCTGTATTTTCAATGAGACGGGAGAACTTGACGGAGGCAAACTCTTGAGATTTTGGGAGGTTTTCATTGTTCAATTGTTTTGAATCGTATTGGAACAATACTTTCCAGTTTTTTTTGTTTTCTTGACTTTCTTTGGTGTAGAGGGATTTTGGAAGAATGTTGATTCGACAACATTGGTCGGCAGCCCTTGTATAAAAAGAATAAGAAAGCTAGTAGAATTAGGTAATTACTCATATGCCTAAAAAAATCGCTTGACTTCTCGAGTCTTTCTCGAAAAACCTGGATTAGAACACACAGAATTCATCAACGTCGTTGCGTAGTCTTACTGGACCAACAGATCATACAAGATTGAGTCAGAGGCAAAGAAATCTCGATAACTACACTTGTCTCTCATGAATATCCGTCTCTCTAAATATTGAATTAGACTCTGCTAAAAAAAAAAGGGGGGGGGGGGCTGCTCACCAACACAAGCTTCATGACAGGCACCAAAAGGCAGCGCGTTGTGTCTTTGGGATTCGGAATGGACGGGATACTTATTATAGACAAAGAATAGAAGGGACTGAGAAGGATTCCAGAAATCTGGCATTCAAAATTTTCTCTTGTGTCTGGTGGTGAATTTAAATGCGATAGGTAACGCGCTATGGACTTGTACAATCGTTGAATAATTCTAGCATGCAGCATCACCCGTACTGTATAGTTCGTGCTCTGCTCGTTTCAGGCCAGCACAGCCGCAGAGCGTAGTGTCAGTCCCGCCAGGGAGTTGCCGCGACCCAAGTAATATAACTTTATAAAAACTCTCTACCTGCTTCAGACTAAGAAAAAAATGAGCCGGAGCGAGATGCCTAAAGAGATCATTGATAAACAACTAACCTCCCGAAAAGAGTGGGAGGAAGAGAATGAATGAGGGGGGGAAAAAAATTGAGAGAGAAAGAGATCGGTGAAATGCTACCCTCGGGTCGGCCAAGTGTGGTCAACTTGTGAGGGTATTTTCGAGTACAGAGTGGCCCTTTGACTTGAACGGGCCGTTAAAATGAGTACTGTAGGTGAGAGACCGGGGGCTGGGTGCGCTAGAGGCTCTCTCTTGTGACCTGGGTATATAATTGTGTGGCTGGCGCAAAAGGGAAAGGAAACTCGGTTCCCTACTTTTGGAGCGTCAAATGCAACTAGCTGGTTATGTCTTTTTCTTTTGATGCTGTTGTCTCTTTTGCACAGCGAGTGACGAGTAGCGAGTAGATACCTGGTGCATGCAGATTTAGCCGCCGTTGTCTCTGCCGACTCTTCAACATCCCTTCGATGCTACCATCATGCAGCATGCAGACGCTGCCAGCCAGCACGGAGGAGGCGCCGGCAAGTAAGTGCTAGCTCGCTCGGCCACCGTCCTATTTGCTGCTAGCAATATACGAGTACGGGGGAACACAATCAACATCCCTGCCCCGACCAGGCCCCGATCCCTGCCGGGCCCCTCCGTGACGATGCCATCCCTGCGCGTTGCCACAACAACCGTCACGTGCAGCCAGGATGCCCGGCCTGCGGTGTGAATGGGCCAGCCGCGGAGCCATACATAAACCAAAACAGTCGGGCGCATTTCTGCTCCCCAGGCCGCCAACGTACATGATCCCATCTGCAAGTGCAGGAACTGGGCCCGTTCTAGCCCAGCGGTGCTGCTGTCTCTTCTCTGGTGGCTCTCAGATCCAGATTGAAGCAGGACGAGACACGCCTTTCCGGATTCCAGATTGATTGTAAGTTGTAAAAAGGGCGAAGGAGGACAAAAATAACTCCTCCCTTCTTCACCATCTCCTTTTTTTTTTTGTGTTTATCTCTCTTACAATCAGCGCCACACCATACACACACCAAATGACTTCTCAAGCCAAACCTCACTCACTAACAATGGCCCCAGCTACGATCCCTCATTAAACCTTAAAAAGGTCTTGCGGAGTGCATGTCAATTTCCCCGAGCGCCCGGCGAGACAACAAGACCGAAGACCTACTGCGTATAATTGAGAGCATTCCCCGTGTCCGTTCAAGAAGGGAGGGTGCTGGTCTGTGTTTTGGTTTGGTTTTTGTTTTGTTGTTTGGTCATACCATTGTTTTGGAGTGTCGACAGCGAAGGAACATAATCCCTCGCTGGTGGTGGCGTCAGAGACGAGAGAAAGTAACGACGGAAAGCAAAAGAGTGACGAGACCATTGATGTCGGAGATGAACGCTGTCTGATTGCTTGACTTGTCCCTCTATTTGACCTCGTCACTCAATCTCGGCATCAGCTCTGCTGCTTACGAGACCGTAATCAGACATCTGCGGCCGACAATTCTTTTCCTTCGACTCACTGATCCTTGATTCCCCGTCGTCTCTACGTTATTTGCGTCTATATACACTTACACACCTGCTTCACTCGCCCGTCCGCCTGCAATGGGCCCCCCGAAGACGAGGGGCCTCACGGCGCCGCAGAATCGCAGCCGCTTTCACGAGGGTTCCATGAACGATCGCGTGTCCGCCGTGCCACCGGAACATTTCCTTGGACCGGGGGAGATAGAATCGCTGGAGAGACCGTTGGAGGTGGAACTAGAGCAGCATCAGTTAAATCTACGAAACGCTCGCCGGTCACAAGATACTCAGCGTCAGCTTCAGCTATGGCTGTCTCAAGCTCCAAGCATTGCACCAAGTGTCGCTCCGAGTGTCGCTCCGAGCACCAGCACATCCTCTCCGTCGAAAAAGGGCATGCTGGGCAAAGTCTGGGATGGCGTTCGAGGTCGGCTCCAGCTGAAAAAAGAAGCCCCATCCCCTGAACAACCGAAGAAGGCAGATTCCCCGCCCAAGAAGCCGGCAACAGCAAATATTTACGACGACAGGCCCACTAGAGAAGAGGCCTTGGCGAGTTATCATTTGCTGGTTGAGTCGGGCTTCTTCACTTCTCATGCCATTCAGTCTACCCGACAGCCTCCGCCGCCCGGTTTTTCAAAGCAGCGACCAGCGACCAGCGCCAGCCATCAGATGCTTTCTGTCTCGCCAAATTTGTCGACGCCGCCGCAAGGACAGCAGGCTCTCCAAGCTCCCCCTTCATTGCCTCCGCCTCTGAAATTTCCTCTCAACACCACCCCTAAAACACCTAAAACGCCCCGGAGCACTAGGAGTAATAGGACGTCTTTGGGCGCCATGACCGCGGCGAGTGCCGATTCAAGGGGCACTAAACGGACCGTAACTGGAAGCCCCAACAACAACAAGGATATCCTGATCCACCAAGACGAGAGGGATGACAGCCGCGAGAGGAGCAAGCCGGAAATTCCTAGAGAAGCGCGCAAGAAGATCCGTAAGAGTACTTCTAAAGATTTCACTATTCCCGTTCTTCGTACCGTTAAATCTACACGGAAACTCGTGGCCAGTCGATCGAATCGCCGAAAAAGCCAAGGCAACGCTAGTCTCACGCCTGTGGTGATCCATCACTATCATAGTCACAGCGCCTCAAGTCGAGACTCCAAGCATAGCAAGCGATCTTCTCACTTGCTGTGTGCGGCGCCATCATCTGCGGGTTCATCGCCTCGGAGCTCCATTGACTCTACATCGTCATGGAGAGAGAGTGGTGACAGCGTCTATAGCGTTCGGGCCATCGGTTCTGGTTCTAAGAGCTCTCGGGGCCTTCGACCAAGAAAACCTGCGTCCAAGGCTGGCGTTGCTAGCAAAGCTGATGCTGATGCAGCGGAGGCTCTCAAGGTGGTTCCCAATGCAAACCGAGGAATCCCCGGTGTTCCAAGCATTCCCGCCAAGTATACTTTTGGAGAAGATCGAGAAAATGGACAGGTCTGGCGAGGGCTGAGACGGTGAAGACTCCTATTCGCATTAACTACTATTATTGGACTTTTGTTGCGGGCGTTGTCGGAGCCACATTTTTTCCATCTCAAAATCTGCTTGTTCTTGAATCATCCGGATTCAATTTTTAACGAATTTTCTTTCTCTCTATCACGAGATATGATATGAATTTTTATCGAACTTATTTTTTTCGCATATACCCCATCCGTTCGGAGGGCGACCAGAAAATCTCTAGAAAACACCAAAAAAAATGGAAGAAAATACACACAAAAAACCCAACCACCGATGTAATGATCCAACAAACCGTCTTTTGCTTCCCAGCAGCACAGACGGCGATTTTTTCTTTTTTTTTTTCTTTCGTTGTTAACAAAACATTGTCTTCATTTGCAAAGGGGATGTTGTGCTTTGTTACGTCATGTGTCACGACAGAAGGAGAACAATATATGAGAAATCACGTATATATACGACTTTGACGACATTTGTGCCAATACGCAGCAAGCAGCGACAGAAACAAGGGAAGAGGATCAACACTACTGAAAAGGTTCAATGGGGAGACACGATGGAAGAAGGCGAAGATGAGAGAAAGAAAAGCCCCCCTTTGCCTGTCACTCTCTGAAATGATTGCGCAGAAACAGGGGTGGGCATTTCGTTCTTCTCCTTCTGACTGGGAAATTCCTATCCTTCTTAGGGTTGATATTTTCCTTGTTCGAAAGCTGGTTTGCTTGCTTTTTGAAATTTTTTTGATTTTCAGTTCGCAAGTTTTGCAAAGGGGAAAACAGAAAAGGAAACCATTGCTATTCGTTTTTTTAACATTCGTTTACATATTCGGATCTCTTCTTGGTTTTCTAGACCGCAGCCGGGTTATGATTCTCCTACAGAAAGCATCGATGATAATACGTTGATCGACTCGACACGGGAATATAAAAGGCTGGGGAAAAGAAAGAAAGAGGAGATCTTGATGATGAGATAATGACTTTCGTAGGGGGATGAGGAAAGGAGGGGTGATTGTACTAATAGGGTATTTGCTTTTTTTTTATAACTTATTTTATGAATGACAAGAGACATTACATCAATCAATTTGTGCTGTGCCAATTGTTGTGACTTGATTATCTTTAATTCGAGACTCATAGTCCGCTTGACGGAAGAATCTTACTGTAAATACCTCTATAAAAAGCATTGAGGAGGGCAAGCAGTGATATCAAAACCGGCCCATGTTTAACTGCCATGGAAAGCTTCAACTGCTGTTTAAAGCTCTAGCTGCGTGTAAGTAAAAACAGAAGGTGAAGCAACTGCTGTGTCATTCCTTAGAGTAATGATATTAAGATCCGGTTTCATTGAAGTTTCGTAACCAAATTTGAGAATACCGAATTAGTACTATACTACGCGTCTATCTAACCATGTACTGCCCAAATATCATATCCAACCATACGTAGAATTAGAGGCAGATAGAGAAACGTGAAAAAGAAAAAGAGTCCAATAATAACCACAAGTGGAGATATATCCCATTCATAATCTCCATCCTAAGCAAAAAAGGAACAAAAATCAAACCATCTCTTCAAGTTCGGGTGCAAAATTAGCTGCTCTGATCGTCTCCTTCCATCAGACAGCCCCGTCTATATCAAGTGCATTTCCTCCATAGATCCCATTTGGTCTTTTGCCATCCATATACCATTTCGGGTAGATGCTTAGAAAAAAATTAAAGAAAATATCATCACCCTTGCTATTCCTCATGCAAATGATGGCGACTCATTCATAGTCTGTACAACTTGAATGAGCATGAGAATAGGGCGTATGTGAGAAAATAAAAAGCGAGAGAACAAGAAGAAGTAAGGAAATCCCATATCCATAGCCATATCCATATCCGTCATTCTTCCATCACAAATGCTAGTCCCATATAACCTGCTGTTTTGAAGTCAAGCGAATGAAATAATACAAAAAGAACAAAGGTGATTCACTTGAGAGATGCTTTAATAAAGATGATAGTGAAACAAACAATTTCCATATAGGGCCAAATTGGCCGTCAATAAGAACTGGGAAGAAAAGGAAATATCTCAAACGCAGCAAACTCCTTCCCAAGAACGAATGTAACATCAATTCATTCCACTTATGCGCCAATCCGCCACCATCCCACAAAAAAAAAAGATTGAAGAAGAGTTAGAGAGAGAGAGAAAAGAAGACGGGGGAATCAACAGCATAGTCGCCATCATGTTAGGCCAGCGTGAATTTCATGAGCAGATCGATCGCGGATAGTGCGCGAGGCAAAAGTACGTCCGGCTACAACAATAGCCCGGATAGTGTCCCAGATTAGAACAAAAAGCCCAGGGAACCAGTTATAAAGCAGCGCGCAGATCATAGCAAGGAGAAGAGGGATCTAAGGGAGGTATAATTGGTTAGCAATTAGATTTTCCTATCATAAGCAGAAATAGAAAGCTTCTCCCATGACTTACCCAAATGAAGAAGAGGTTTCGATCGTTGCTAATCTTCTTTAGCTTTTGCTCCCGAGCCCGCAAAAAGTTTTCTTGTTGCTCCTTGGTGATGGCATGCTTGCGTCCAATCTCAAGAATCTCCGGAATCTCGGTACTGCGCCCAGCTGAAGTCGCAACTGAAGCTCCGGTCGTAGTGAGAGACTGCTTGGCAACAGTCACTGATGACTGCTGCTGCTGGTGGTCGTATAGTTTCGAGTATTTCAAGTCAGCCTCTGCTTCAAGAGCCGCTCGAGCTGCCGACTGAATCTTCCTGTCCCTGTCCGCTTCGGGATAAATGTCTGCATAGGCAGGAGGTGCCGCCGATGCACCATTCATGTACGACGAGAGATCCCACCAACGACCATCTACCTTTGGCTCATTGTCGCCTTGGTTATCTGGGCGGTTACCGGTCATGTTGGGCATCAATTGCTGTACCCTGCGGATAAAAGGCGCTTGCTGAAGGTAGGCCTGGTAGTCGGGCAGAGCTTGCATACCGGCAAACGTTGGCATCTGTGGCATCTGTGGCATTTGAGGAATCTGAGGGAGGTGTGTAAAATTCTGGAGCTGCTGGGAAAGCTGTTGTTGGAACTGCTGAAGCTGCTCTTGAACCTGGTTCTTAAGTGCAGCCGCCAATGCTGTGGTCTGCGCTGCTACACTGTTATTAGCATCATCGACAACAGCACCAGCAACTTCTTCTAGCACAACGCCCTGGTCCAGTGCGATGCCGCTTGGTCGCCTCATCTGGAGGATGTCATTATCGTCAGAGTCTTCGTCTTCAAAGTCATCAGTTGTGTATTCGGGGCTCTCCTCGCTAGGATCCACAGAGATGGGTTCTTCGTGAGTTTGAGCTCTAGTCAATGGCTCCCACAGCGAGCGCAGAGAAGCGGCGCTGCTAGAAGTGCTCCGAAGAGATCCTCCGCTGCGAGAGCGGTTGTGCCTTTGCGTGCTACGAATGGTGCGAATAACGGCTCTCGACTGAGCTACGTCGATGGCAGTAAGGCTCGATAAGCTTCGCATTGTCGGGTCGGCTCGGGCAAGCAGCAGTCGTCGTGCGATTTCTGGGTGATTATAGAGAGCGGCGAAATGCAAGGGAGTGAAGCCACCTCTATCGCGGACATAAGGGCTTGCGCCACGGGCGAGGAGAGCAGCAACCAGGCGGTGATAACCTTGGGAGCAGGCTAAATGCAGCATGGTATGGCCAGACGATCCCTTCAGGTCCAGTTGCGCCCTATGAGGGCTCTCATCCAGATCGATGAGGTCAAGAACTTTGAGAAGCTGAGATTCCAGGTGTGTCTCGTTCGGCGCCGCCTGGTGATATACAGAGCCGGGGCCGGAGCCGGAGCCGGAGCCACTGTTTGTTGAGCCACCAGAAGATGGCCCATTGCCCCAGCCTGGGCCGCCATTGTTTAGAATCCTGTGTGCAAGCTCATTCACGTCGACAACCCGGCCGGACATCTTGTGGCCCAGTACAGCAAGAGCGGTACGGATCAATTTGTCTTCGGTATCGTCGATATATTTGAACATCTGAGGCTGAGTGTAAGCGAGTGCTTCTTGTCGCCCAATCGTTACGGGCACGGAGCCCGCAACCGCAGAAGGAGGCACGAGGCACACGAGCGCCTGCGGTCCCCAAAAGGTAGTGGTAATAGCCTTGGCGCCGCCGAACCAAACCTCGTGTCCTTGGACAAACGAAGCTCCAATCACGGTAACCTCGATGCCGCCAACCTTGGGGCCCTCGTTGGGGATAACCTTGTGGATGATGGGTATTGCCAGCTGCTCGTTTACTGAGGCAGGGGGCATCGCATAGAGGCTACGGCCAATGGGCTGTGGGAAAAGCGCCGCAGAGTTGACACTATTCCGGAGCCCGCTTGGACTAGGAGCACGGCTAGGATGGCCAGATGTCGGGGCAGAATAAAGCTGGGCCATGGACACATTATCCATGCTCTCGGAGCGTCTACTGCCGAATAATGGGACTTGTTCGTTGCCGTTGGGCGTGGTAGATCCATTCGTAAACGGGGCTTGGGGGTTGACCATGGTGCCAAAGATTGCCTCGGGCGTCGGGAAAGAGTGTGGATTAGGTGAGAAGGGCGAGGTTGCGGCGGAAACGTGCTGGCTTATATGGTTCTGAGCGGGCATGTTTTGCGCGACATCCATACGTGTCATGGCTAAGCCATTGGGAACCCTGCCAGAAGCACTCGATTTTCTCTTCTTAGCAGGCCCGCCCTGGTTAGGCGAAGGAGGCCGTGATAGGGGGCGCCCAGGCACTCCTACAGCGGCGTTGCTGGATGGTGGTCCGTAGGAGGCAGCCTGGCCATTAGGGGAAAATGCCATGGGAGAGCCCGACTGTGTTTGCATCGCCAGATTATTGTCTACATCCATGGACTGCTGCAGCGCAGAGCTCGAAACCGGTTCTGACATTGCCGGCTGCGTCGTTGAGTTGGTCTTGTGATCATCTGTAATCATGATGGGTTTCGACATGGCCTGCGCAATGACCTTGTCCTTCCAGTCTTTGATGGTGAATATGACGTTAAAGCCCGCCTTTTCGTTGTGATGGCGGCAGTAGCAGGCGATTCGCATAGGCGCGTCAACTTGCATGGCGCGAGCGTGTCGGCTCTGTTCTGGCCGGCCATTATTGTCTAGAGCACTGATGGGCTGCCAGTCCTTGATCTCCGAGGTGTTGAAAACAACGACACGGCGATGCTCATCCGCGCTCCACAATCTATCTTCCTCAGGTTTTTTGACCTTCTTCCTCGCCGCTCTCTTGCGCTCTCTTGTAATACAACCAGCGCAAATGCGAACTTCGCCTCCACGCTGTGGAGAGTTTTCGTCATCATCCAGATCCGGGAGGTAGTCCTGAGGATTCGTAGCGGCCCTCTCCAAAGCCCTCTCTCTCGCCTCTTTCTGCTCCATGGCGCTAGTGCAAACTAAGCTGACGAAAAGTTCGAGGGTGTCGGGAGACCTCTGCGCGGCGGGCTTCGCCATGAGCTTGGGTTTGGAAATTGTGTGGGGTGGCAAATGCAATTTGGTGATGCCTGGTGGGAGCGGATTCAGTGCCATCTTTATGGGAATCTGCGTCTCCACGCGAGACTTGGTGGGTGTCGGGTAGATTTTGAGCTCGTATCCCCGGGTAAAATTATATGTGGCGGGTTTGGTAATGCTGGTGGTAGTGTCGTGCCCGCGGAAGCCGTCGAAGAAGCCGATGTTGTTTACATTTTCGTTAAAAGGGGTGTTGTCATTATTGAAGCGTGATACAGGAGGTTGAATGAATGGCATTTGGAAATTGGGATTGCTGGACAGTGTGTCCGAGATGCTCGGCGGAGAGTTCAGCAATGCCGTCCACCTGGGACCAGACGGAGAGGGAATATTGAATACGGCGCCCGCTGGCGATCCACCATGGCTGGCGACCATGCTCGACATTGGCGACAATTCTCGCGACGCCTCTCTGGCTTGTCCTCCTGCGGATGCGGCTGAATACTGCGGGAGAATTGTTAGTCCTGGATGAGCAAGGTTATCCAAGTTGCATTCACGTACCGAATTGTTCTGCTGATGCCCATTCGGTAGATCCACGTTGGCCGAGCTGTTGGTCTCGGTGCTGGGTATGCTGGGGGAAGATATGTTCATGTGGCTGCTGGGCATGGTATCGAAACTTCTTGGAAAAGCTGATGGAAAGTTAAACTGGTTCATGAGGGCATCCTCGCCGTCATTGTCAATGCTAGGAAACATGAGATTCAAGGATTCATCTTGACGAACAAACGGCAAGGCTGAGTCATTGTCGTTGGAGCCGGGCATATGCCGGTTTCTCCAATCCATGCCGTCGTCCAACTCGTCGGTCGTTGTCATGCCTGTCATTACTGGCGTCTGTGTGGACGTGGCGCTTCCTGTCCTCTGAATGGATGCGGTAGAGTCCGAGGAAGAGTCCGGTAACGAGCCGTTCGGTGAGTCGGGGAAGCCAACGTTGGCGATGAGCTCCTGCGGATTCAAGAAGGCCTTCTGCTGGCCGGGTCCGAGGCTTGTCAGGCTTTGCAGGTCGTCCGGGGCAGGGAAATAGTGCAACAGATTCGAGGTTGCCAGTTCATCGTCGGACAGATTCTGCAATCCGTCGCTCTGCATTGGTGACGCCCCAGCAATGAGCGGGCTGCTGGCGCCGCTTTGGGCAGACGGGGTCATGGCCAGCGGGCGTCGACTGGCCACGTCTGGCGATATATCGAATGCAGGCCAAGGTTGTTTTTTTGCCGAGCAAAGAAGAGTCGGAGGGAGGCTCGATTCGGTCGCTAATGTTGTTTTCTGTCGCCTCTGGCTGCCGTCCCGTGTGTCAGGAGTGCGATTCGCGGATGAAGCGCCGGGGTCACGATAGCATCAGGCCTGCAGGTGGAGACTGTGTCTTACAATCGAAGGCGCAAGCACAAAGGGACAGATAAGGGTCCTCCCTAGGTCTCCGGATAAGAAAGTCGGGGATCGAGGGAAAAAAACGCAGGCGAAAAGCCAGGGAAGGCTCGTGCAATGCGGTGCAGATCCGAACGGAAGAAAAAAAAAATTATCGCGGAATGAAAGGCGCCCTGTAGCGATACAAGGGGGGCGAAAGCCGAGGTCGTAATCGAGTGAAGATGCGGCTTTCCGGTTCGTGGGCTTTGAGCGGTGTCGAGACAAGGAATGGCGGCGTCTGTTGAGGTTTAAAAGAGGCACGTAGAAAAAGGAAGAAACAGTTTTGGCGGTGCCACTATTGGAGGCCAGACGCAAGTGGGTGTTTTTTCCACGCGGCACTCGCTAGCGGGGGTTAGGCTAGCGCAGCGGCTTGGCCTGTGGAGAGGCCGCGATTCTGGGTGGCCAGCACTGCAGGTGCGCTGGACTGCACAGTAAACTCAGCACGGAGTAGGTTTCTCCGAACGTGCCAATAATTGGCAGAGAGAGGGCAACAAGCTCCCTGCGGTGACGGCATGCGCCTGGCTCTATCTGCATCTCTCTGCGCTTATCTAGAAGGGAAACATACGGGGTTTCTGGCACTCAGATGCAGATGGCGCCGCTGCTCTGGGCTGGTGCTACTGCTCGCAATGCTGTGGCACGGGACAGGCCAGAAGCCGCAAAGAACTACAGGTGCTCGCAAGTGATTTCACAAGCAAACGTGCAAACGCCATGTAGGTTACTTTTCCCTTTTGCCAAGCATGAAATCTACATTCAGTGACTTTTTCTGCTGCAACGCTGCCATACTTACGTCTGTCCTGCCTCGTGCCCCTTCCAAGTACTCGAAGTGTCTGGTGGCTTTCAGGGACCGACAACGGACGCCTCCTCTGGGCGCTCTGATAAGCGGTGCAGCCAGTAGGGAACTTGGCTGCGTGTAGACTGCGAGTCTTCTGCGGTCACTTTCGCACTGTCTAGTTGAGACGAGCCCTTGACTACATGGAGGTAACTCTGCATATGCACCCTTTATAAAGTCAATCCAGCAGCAGTGGCAGTACCTGATGGGCGTCAGGCCTCTCACTGACACAGTCGGTGCAGCGAGTGCCAGGGATTGCAATGCAGCTCGTTCGTCACTCTCGCCAGGGTGCACCGCAGCCTGACCAATGATCACGAGGCAGGGCCATGTACGGCTGGGTAGCGCATGTAGCTCGCCCTCCTATATCATTTCACCTCCATGCTGCAATCCACAATACGTAGCACGTCTCCTGGCACCTCTACAGCCAAGTGCTTGTATATGGCATCTGCGAATGGGTAGAGGCAGGTACTTGCTCCCTACAGTACAAAGCCAGAATGCTCTGCCAGCAAATAGACCAACGTATCTTGGTAGCATACTCCCATCAACCTTGAAAACTTATGACACGCTGTCCTCTTCTTTCACTGCGCAATCGATGACAAACACACGACGCCCACAGCTGCCTGATGAATGATGTAGTTGCTGCTTCTCCAGCCTTCCAACCAGCCTGTCTCTTCCCCAACAATCTGTCTGTCACCAAAACTAGCCCCGGCCCCGGTCCTCCGATTGCCCGGGACTCAGACGGAGACGGGGACCGCGGGTTTGCCGATCTGACAGCAGCTGTCTTCTATCCACCTCTAGCATCAGCCGAGGTCCCTGAGTGCTGCTTGTGCCTCGTAATACTGAAGCTATTACTGGAAGTCTCTTGAGCTCAGCAACTCGGACCTTGAGTCACTAATCATGGGTGTGGACGCCCCAATCACTGTCCTGCAGCTGAAAAACTACACACGGAGTACGCATGTTGTGCGTACCTGAGTCGCTTTCCCATTTTGGGCTCGTGACCCCACAGCCACCAGCCGCACGCTCAGTTTGCCCATATCTTTTATCTTTGAATCACCTAGAAAGATGTCCGTCAAATTATAACTGCAGCACTTGTCAAGCCACTGATAGGCCGTTTAAACTTCTGCCCGCGCCTTCACGCGAGGAGGTGAACGGAACACGAGTCAAAACATGCTTCGTGCGTTTTTCACGATATATCCCAACCTTGAATGCTTACTCGAAAATTGCATACTATAGCAGCTGGGCCCACATTCACGCTGTCCCTCTTCAGTAGCGTAGCATTACTGAACCCTTTCCTGTTGACCTGTAATAATACTGCACCAGTACCAGTAGACCAGTAGAATCGCCCACCTCAACGCTTCTTCTCGGGTTTCAGGAACACCCGCTCTTCAACCGCAAGTACCTACGCGCTACCTCATGCCGCCACTGTAACTACAGCATAATGTCCGTACCGACTCCGTACCATTATGCACTTCAACAACCAGGCGAAGCTCGCTCCTCTACATGTTTTCCACGATATCCCCAACGAAAATCAATAACCATGAACCCCTCCTGCTCACAGCCACACTGCAAAGCAAATGCCCAGATTCCACCTCATGGACGCTGCAGCCTAAATATCGTCACAGAAATGAAAACGAAATGCGGAAGAGCCGCTTTGTTGTTCGTGTAGAGACGAGAGACGATGCTCGTCTGTAAAATGTTGCTGCTGTCGTATGACCGATGCGGGCGTGTGCCAGCGGCGTGTGCCCTGCAGTACAGTAAGGTTCAGGTGATCCGGCTGTAAGCTTGTCAAAAATCACGGCCATCGATCTTACATACATGAAATTTGAAACGTTAAATACAGAAATACCAAACTTCTCTTTGCCTTTGAATTGACTTTTTCATATTCATGCACTCTGCCAGGGCAGTCTGCGCGACTACCGAACTGTATCAAGCTACTTACAGCTACTCGATAGCCATCTTCGAGCATTTCTTATGTCTGCATCTACGTGTACCTGCATATAGTAGGTAGGTTTAAGCCACGATTAAGCCTCGTGGATATTCTTTCATCCTTACCCAGTGAAACCCTGCCCTTTGGGGGTGGCGGCCCAGAGAAATCTGATTATAGTTTGACTGGCTTATGCTTAAGCTGGAGACCTGCAACAGCATCGTTTCAAGGGCTGTTCGTCGCACTGTATGTCTCGTAGATGTCCTCTTGATCACATTGTTGTACTTGATCTTTCTATTATCGACGATCTACGACAGTTATTTCACAGGCTTCTTTGTTTGGCAAGGCTTGATGATACCATACAATTGCTGGAAACCGGGATGATATGATATGTATGATATAGGGCTAGGGGCATTTAGTTCAGCTCAGGTTCCTATTCTTGGAGAGTTAGAAATTACAGTCAAGTAAATCCACCCGGAGGAACGAGGCCTGGTCGCTATTTATTGAATCAAACTTGTCTAGAAGCTTAGTACTACAGACGACGACGCGTGTATAAGACCGCAGTAAGTAAACCTTCAATTCTGCAGTCTATCATCCATTACGCTTTGAAAGAACTCGAGAACTAAAAAGATGGGCCATACGACATTAATCCGAGTGCGAATGAGTTCCTGACTTTGATGTAACATCTCCCAGCGGCCGAATCTTCGCAGACTCAGCCTCAGCAAGACCATGCCCAGGTGGCGACGCGTTACGCAGTGGAGCTTCAGACTGCGAAACCGCCCACTCAGCCGGTCCAACTTCCGGCTCGTCATAAAACCGAATCTCGCGTCTGCGAGCCGGCATTGAATCCTCATCGTGCGAAAGAGCATCTTCTTCAATGGCACCGGGCCTCGAAGGTACGGGATGAAGCATAGGGTGAGGCTTGGACGGGCCAGAAACAGTTGTGGTAGTCAGGGGATGTCCTCCATCGGGAGCATCGATTGTGGCTTCGGCGTCCCCCCTTTTACTAGATAGCCACTTGGATACGGAAGATATGCGTGACCCTATGCGTGAGCTTATGCGCGAGTTGTCGCCACTGTGGCTGACGGTTTCGCTCAAGACTCGAGAGATTGTCCGAGGCATGAGGTACCCTATTTTACCAAGGGGGATGCTCAGCCCATGGACGACCTAACAAACAAGTTAAAACAATTAGTCACTGCGAGCTTCAAGATAGGATAGGAATGAGGGTCCTAAAGAAGACTCACTACACTGCAAACAGTGAGGAACCAAACCACAATCCTGACCATTTCGCCCAAATCCTTGACATCGCTTCTCGGATTCCCCTCTTCATCGCTCAAGTACTTTTCAATAAATTCCAAAGTAATGAAGAGATAAAACACCGCCGACACGCCAATGGGGCCAAAGAATCCCACAAAGAGAGCCTGGTGCCTCTCTGTGATTTGGTGGATCCATTTATGCAGCCCATAGATCCAGGGCAGCCGCCTCACGAGCATCACCAGGATGCCAAGCGGCACGAGCTTGTATATAGGGATCAGGGAGTTGTAGCGGAACTCAGTCCACGGCAAGTAGGCCCCGTACCACAGAAAGATGGAAACGTTGAGGAGCATGTCTACCGTAGGCTGCAGCGAGTCATCCAGCGTTTCGAGACGGAACCAATCATCCCAAGTAAATGCATTTCCGGCAATGAAGCAGGCGAGAACGTCGTCTGTGCCAATTAGCCCGCACGTACCGAGAACGAACAATGCCAAAGATACGGCAGAGACCAAGAAACTTTCTCGATCGACATAGTTGCGCTTCACGGCCCAACGGAGCAGCTCCTTTGCTACCAATCCCACAACAGCGCCGTAGATGACACTCAGGATGATGGTATAAGCCCAAGTATAAGCGAACCAGAGCCCCATGGCATTCCCAGCTCCGCCAGAAGTAGCACCAGAACCAACATACTTGATCAAATACAAGGCAAAGAATAGGAAAGGGTAGCCCAACCCGTCATTCGCGCCAGATTCGGCAACGATGAGGTTCTGCAGTTCCTTGGGGATGTTGTTATCAGCAAACTTTCCCTTGACAATAACAGCAGACAACACAGGATCCGTGGGCGTGACGCAAGCACCCACGGCCAGGGCATGCAAGAAGTTTGGCATCCCGGCAAGGGCCCAGACCAGAAAGCTCGTTGTAAGCCACATTAATGTCATGGCAGGGCCGAGCAGCAACATGAGAGACTTGCGCTCTCTCCAGAGGTATTTGCTAGGCAGTTGAACGCCAGCAATGACCAGCTGGACGCCAAGGACGAGCCTGGAGAAATTGAGCGTAATGTTTCCCAGCCGTTGGTCAATACAGTCGGCTTCGCTGATGGCAGACGTGCTGCATCCAGCATAGGCATCTGGGCGGATGAAGTTGGCGCCATGAGGGCCGAGGGCAACCCCAATTAAAAGAGATATGACTACAATGCGCACTATTAGCTACTAGACGAGCTTAGAAAAGAGAATGGAATCCTTGGCTATCGAGAAGACTCATGTCTCGAACAGTGCAAGACACCTTGCTCATGCAGGCAAATAAACGCAACTCTCCCGAAGGCAAAGGTGATATCCCTCCCCCCTCCCGCAAGATAAGAGACGAGAAGAAAACTTACGAGCTTCAGATAGATAGTAATTCTCTTTCAAGAGATACGACACCAGCCCAAACAGCGATATAAACCCCCCCAAAACAGCAACCACGATATTGAAATTCGACAGCGCCAGCGGCACAGCCCAGATGTTATCAGCCATGGCGACGACAGCGCCTCAGCTGAATGTTAGCAACGCGAGAATCGAGTTGCTGCTGCTGTAGTAACAAAGACAGCAAAGATCATTTCTTCTCAAAAGTTTCTCAGCTTGACAACTCGCAGAGAAATCTGTCCGTCTCTATTAGGAAATCCCTTTGCCGTAGGTAGATCCCAAAGAGCCTTATCCGACTGAGTGACGCAATAGGATCGGATTCTGTCAGCTAGTATCCCAGACAACGCAGCCCAACTTCCCCTAGAGACAGGCAATCAATTCGCAGGACGTAAAAAACAAAAAGGCTATCCAATCGGCCTCGCATGCAGCAACGCAAACAAGTTCCGCGGCGGGTCGATATTGAAAAGGCGGGAAAAGAAGAAAAAAAAAGAGGGCTGTCGAGTCCAATTAGCCAATAGAGGTGTGAACTTGGCATCCCCCGGTAAGTGGCGTCGAACCGGTGAGCGCAAAAAATTCCCCCACAAGCAACTGAGCACATATTGGGGGCCGGCTGGCGAAGGATTTCGAAATTTTTTTTTTATCTTGAATATCGGGTCTGAGTTACATTCCGTGTGATAGGCCAAGGCTGGCGAGAGAGTGCGGCAACTCTCCGGAAACTTGCACAAAGGCGGATAGATGCTGAGAGAAGAGAAAACTTGGTCAAAACAATCGAGATCTTATCCAGTCTGTTTTAATGGTAAAGATAATAAATTGCTTTGGTATATGTATGAATAGGAGAAGCTGCTAAACCTACTGCCGAATAAGCTAGTATTACTGTATTTACCAAATACAAGCCTCGAGGTATCAATCACCATCCTTCGAAAAAAGGAAAAAGATGTGTAAAATGTAAAACTCCTATCCAGGGCTCCATCCAGTTGCCGTTACAATCATTAGTATCCCATGCCCAACTCCATGGTATGCTTTTATTTCTTCGTCGTAGGACTTCCGCATCTCCCCCTCGTAGCTCATACACTGTAGCTGCGCCTGTCGATAGGTAGACAGAGCACACCCGTAACTTGACACTCATCTCCATCATCTCCATCCACGGCGAAAGAAGCGCAATGTCGGTATGCGCTCATCATGCCTCATCGTGGAAGGTTAGCGCCCATGACGGCCAGCCGATCTGCGGCAATGTTGCCAGGATTCGCGGCATGACCTTTTACCCACTGGAAGTAGGTATTGCCCCCAGCCTTGGTTCGTTCATCTATCTTTTTAAGGATAGGCCGTATGATGTCAGAATTCTTAACATCCTCATTGCTGGCTGTTTTCCAATTCTTTTTACTCCAGCCAATGGGCCACTCAGTCACGCATTTGATGGAATACTGGCTATCGCTGTTGATGCGAACCGTCTGGGCAGCCGGCACAGATTCCAAAGCTCGCAGCATAGCCATGAGCTCTGCGGCTTGGTTAGTCTGCTTCTCGCCAAGCAGTTTTTCAGCCAGATTGCGAGGATCGTTCTCTCCAAAATAAACGCCCAGTCCGGCACGCGCACCCTCTCGGCCGTTGGCCAGGCTGCTCCCATCTGTATATATGTCGAGAACATCCTCTCGCGGTTTCGTATCGGCCTCACTGTCCTTGAGGATAGGAGTGAACTTTTGGATTGTGAAAAGCTTTTCTTCAACCTCCACCTTCTCCACTGGCTCCACCTTCTCTCCCAATGCCTCTATTGCCTCCCTATTGCCGAATTGTCGGATGTATGCCACGGCTTCTGCTCGAGTAGGAAAGCGTTTGTACTTGGGGCCCTTGACGCCCGTGGTGGCCTTCTGAGCTTCGGACCAGTCTGTGAAGATGCCCGTCGGTTTGCCAACAGCAACCGCGTAGAATTTATCGGGCTCATCTGCCACTGCGACTTTCTTCCCAGCAGCAAAGGCGTCGGCGTCTTCTCTTGAAAGAAAGGATTTGACTACAAGCAGAGGAGGGACAACGGTTAGCTATACTTTTCTTTTCTTCCCCCCCCTTTTTTTTCTCACTCGTAGAATAAGTTTCCAGCATTGGTAGTGACTCGTTTTGTATTGTTTGTTTGAAGATTGGGCCACTCACAAATAGCGCCCTTGAACCCGGCCGTCTGAGCCTGGCACTCGGCGTACGTCAAGTACACCCCAGGGACGAAGCCCGCTTGCACGGCGTAATATTTCTGAACATTTTCCATCTTTTTCTTCTTGGAGGCGCTTGGCGTCGCAGCGCTGCTTGGGGCCGACCGCTTGTTTTTGTTGCTGGGCATAGCGTCGGGTGTGGTGGTGGTGGTGGTGGTATCGGATACACCACCAAAAGGGCCAGGAAACGCGGAAGCAGAAACAGGCGAGTTGGGGCTCAGCTCATAATATTGTCGCGCCAGGGTCGGCGCTGCAGTCAATTGCGATGGCGGCCTGACCACGGCCTGCCACACCACAGGGTACCGTCAGCGGCGGGTGGCGGCAGTCGTGATCCTGACGAAAGCGCTGGCGATGCCGTTGGCGATGCTGTTCGCACAAGGCTGAGGGCGAGGTCGCATACGCTTCACATCAATGGCATGGCGCTTCGCCAACGTCGAGGGGGCCGGCCGGGGCTTAAGAACTGGAGCTGGCGCTGGAGCTGGCGCGGACGGTCTGCGCTCGGACAGTCGGCGAGAGAGGCGAGAGGCAACGAAGCGAAAGGGGGGGTTTTTGCGTTTGGGGGGTTTCTTGGTTGTGCCCTTGGAGCAGCAGCAAGGCAGAGCAGCCGCCCACCGGCCGCGTGATTCGCGCAAACTTTAGGAGGGGCAGCGCTGCTGCCCGCTTTCCCGCACAGCGCGGTGGAGCCGCCGCATAGCGCCTGGTCGCATGTGCCGCGATGCAACCCCAGCAGAGTGAGGCGCCGAACCCTGCTGTGATCTCGGTGTTTAGGGTATCTTTGGGGCACCTCTGCCGCTCAGCCCTCCAAGCCTAGGCCCGGGGCCGGGTGCGTGTTGCTGGATGCGTCTGTTGCTGCAGCTCTTTGGCCATCGGATACTGTTGTTCGTGATCAACACGGTAGGTGACATGTCCGTGTTTCAAACTCTCCGTTTCAATATTAGAGAGGCTGGTTGTTTCTGGATTACTACTATAACCAAGGGACCTCCCAGTTCGCCGATACATGTACTCAAGCTTACAAGTAGTGCTGCCATCCATCCAGCCATCACGTTGCCTCGGTCAAGCCGTAATGGGTTGCCAGTTATCAGCCAGTCACCGTCCCTTGTTTGCCACCGTACCAACGAATTACATTCATATTCTAGTCTTTGCTCTGTTTTCTGTCTTGTTTCCGTTTCATAATTACATGCCTTAATAAACAGCTTGATAAGTTCCAATCTGTCCATAATCCATTCGCCGTGCCATGCCATGCCAGTAAAGCCACAAATCTTCCATTGACAAAACAACCCGATGCCAAGTATGTCGTACCGAGTCCCTTCAGCGATTAGAGGATTGTCTAACCCCTCTTCTGTATCTTGCAGCTCTCCCTTTTGTCGTCGTCGCCAACAGTACTGTAGTTGTAGTAGTATGCATTTTCCATGATAATTTATTCGTACAAAAAGATGCAGCTGTCCACAGCAGCAACAATAGCGCATCATACCTATATCAAAAGCACGCCACGCAGCTAGGGCGCGCCAGTATCGCCGGGGGAGCTTTATTGTCCGGCACTGCCTTAGCCAGCAATGGCAGTACTGAGTCTTATATCGTCCTTGGAGGTGGTAATCCTAAACGTGAGTGGTTGGGTCGACAAGGGGGAGGTCAGGTACACCATCACCTTCCCACTCCCATGCCAGCAAGCTCCAGTTGAGCTCGCGTCTCCAGAAAAGACCCAATCCTCGTCCACCTCCATCAGGACGATCATCTGCGCTCAGGCCGCCCGTCCGAGGCATATGGCAACAGAACACTGCCTTACCCATGCGAGAGTGCAGGACAGCCATGGAGCACGCAACGCATGGCTCATGGGTGGAATAGAGCTCCAGTCCGTGACACAAGTACCCATCTTTGTTCGGGTGCTCTTGTTCGAAGCACTCCTTTTCCAGCTCAAGCATAGGTGTGTCCTGGAAGGCGTCGAATTCCAAGATGGGGCGCTCCATTGGCTGTTCAGCAACCGCTCGCTCGTACCGGACAAGTTTCTGAGCCACCATGCTCATAGCACGCAGGACACAGTGCGACATTGGGTTGTTGTCGAAACCGAATCCATTTTGTTGATAATGTCTCGCGTCTCCGGCAAGCCCAACAAGCTCTGCGCCCTTTTCATTTCTTTGAACAATCACAGCCCCCATAGCTTCTCCAATACCCGCTTCCTTGGCCTGAAGAGCTACACGATGTGCCAGTGCGATCCAAATCGGTGCGTCATTCTTAATGTCTTCTGTGCCACGGGCGAACATGCCCGGATGAGGGCCCAGCGGGTTGTTCTTGCGATAGACTGTTGGCCAGAACTGTGCACTCCACATAGCGGCCTGGATTTGAGACGTCGGTGCCATCATTGGGACAGGGATAATGCTCAAGAATGGCTCCTTCTCGACTCCTTCTACTTCAGAAAGCAGCGCAAGGAGCTCATCGCGGGAAAAGTCTTTGGACTCTCCTACCACGACGTAAATCCAGGTCGATTTCGAAGTGTGGATTTGCCGACCAGTCGGTGTGTCATTCATCAGCTGTGTCTTCAGATGAGCCGGGAGGTCCGCTGGCTTTGCACATCTTCGCAGATGCGGTAAGGTATTAGCGTTACCGGCATTGCTCAAGTCGCGCAGGAGTCTGAAACCCAGTCAGTACACTGTCCATCAAATGACCTTGTTTCGGCAAGAAAACTGTTGAAAGAGAAAAAGAGAACCGAGAACTTACGTGACAAAGTTATTGGCAGACTTGGTCGGGACTCGAGTGATGTACGCATGGGAAATGTAATGATCCTGATAGACTTCCTGGTCCGTTTTGAGAGGAATCAGAACACCCTGAGGGAGATTTTGAGCTCTGAGATCATCGATTATGGGGTTAGGCAAGGCAAGCCTCCCCAAACGGACATCTTTAGCGGTTGAATTCTCAAGTTTCGCGTTGGCCGGCTCGTCAAAGAAGTCATCTATTTCAACAGCCATCTTGCTCCAGTAAAGCTAAAACCGTCTCCGTCAAGGAAGCGAAATTGAAGTTTTGGGAATGATTGATGACAAGCAAATCAAAGCAATCTCGCTGAACAACAGAGAGAGTTGAAGTTTCGATGGATGTCTGGCGATGCTGACGACACGATAGTAGAAGATAGCTTTGTCTCGGCTGAGTTGCTATGGTGACGTTTTTGACCGTCTTTGATATGCGAAAGAAGCAGCCAGCAAGCAATAGTTGAGGTTGCCACAGAGTCTGATGTTTATAAATCCTAGCCAGGTCTGAGAGGAAGGAGCCAATAGCTTTGTTGAATGGCCAAGCGGCTACTTCGCCAACTTGAGGCTAAACCCCGTTTGCCTTCCAAGGCGACGACGATGATCGCTTGCTTGCTGGGAGAGGGCGATGCTGGGTGTGGATTTGAGATAGCCTAGCAGCGAAACTCTTATGGACGGGGTAAGGCTGCCCTGAAAGAACCTTTTAACCCAGACTCTAAAGAGCTGCTCTCTAAAGGCACTTGAGCGGAATAGTGGACTTGGATGAGACCGCCTGTCAGTTTAGAATGGTTGGCGGGAGAATCTTGCTGGAGTCCTCGTTAGAAAAATGATCTGCAGTCGACGTTCTATCCTTGGTGAACTGAGGACGGCAGAAATTTGCATGTTACTGCATGATGTGCACGATAGAGAATAATCGCGAAAAGTAAAGGTTTGGGGGCAACAGAAGAGACAAGGCCCGAATAACTTACCGAAGATGCGCCAGAAGATTTGCATTTGCAGAACGACCAAAGTAAGTTGGATCTTGAACTCCGAGCGTTTGAGGAAATCAGATAATTACGATGCTGCTGAAGATTGAAGTTGAGGACCAGTGGAGAACAACCAGGAAAGCGCAGGCGCTGATTGGCCACAGCATCGGCAGGCAGGACGCCCCACTTAAAATTTCTATTTGCATCTCATGACGGATTCACTTCTGTTTGACTTTTTTAGCAGATCTACGCTGGTGAGAGGATGAAATAGCAAGGTGCTTGCATCAATGCATAAACATGCAGAAACTTCTGTTTGAATGCCTAAAATATCTTCTTATAGAGCCGCCCGAAACATGCAGACACGCCTAAATGCATCTGTTAGCTGGGTTATTTGCATGGTCCATGATCAACTTTGACTTTGATAGATGATGGCAGTCGCGTTTGACATGCAGCCGTTCATGTGACAGCGGCAGTTCCTGCCAAACGGCCTCCACCGCCTTTGAATCTTGCAGCCACTGCAGCTGCTCTGTGTCTACATAACTGTGATAAATTTAGACGTCGGCCACAAAAGCCTCTAGAAACCACTTCTTTCTGCCCATCTACGCCATCCGCGCCATCGCCTCATCCACCATTTCATGCTTGCCGCCACCAAGTACTAGATGCCAGCCATAACTATTTTTTCCCTCTTTCTCGAACTCGGACTTCTCTGCACCAATTAGGCAATGGAGACCTCCGCAACACCAATTGCCGTACCCCATCACTCTTCTCACGCGCCTTCGTCCTGGCCAGCAATGTTTTTTAATATCGGGCGACGCCACCAAATGCTTGCTGCACGCTGCGCTCTCGGAACTTGACCTCCCCTGTCAGCCTTGCCCCGATCGCCTCACTGGCTCTGATTCAAACGCAGGAACGTTGATGGTTCGTGGAATTCGGGGCTAGCAGGCGTCGTGCCCCCACGCCCTGGGTGCTGGAGGAGCTTGGCCCCTCATTTGCATCTTGCAAATATACGCTTGTCACAAGAACCTCTTATCCGCTCGGCTCTATTTGGGTAGTACGCAACGCCTGCTCCAGATCAATGGCTTCTCATACCTGGGGCACTGCGCGGGGCATGATGGGGGAAAGACGCTTAAGCGACACTCGCACCATCTCACCAGCTAGCTGTACTCATGCTCGTGCTCTGTAAGTGGCACAGGAACACTGCGGAGTAGTAGGCAGTAGTAATAACGAAGGCTCCGCAGACTACCGTCTAGCTAATGGATATATGATGCAACGTTTGGTTTTGGTGGTCCTGCCGAGCCCACCGAGATCGTCTAGACTTGACGATCAGGGTCTTGCGCTGATTTTGCTTTGCGCATCTCGCGCTTGGGGCTGTTTTCACGACGGGGACCAGGCCTGGCAAATTGGGCGCTTGGGACGCCGTCCAGCGGCAAATGCTCCGGTGATGCTGTATGCGCACTCGGAGTCCGAAGCGCACGCATTCACAAAAATTACAGCTCATTGTTCTGTCTTGTCAGCCATGTAAACTGATCTACAAGTGCATACTAAGCAAAATATCGACCCTGGTTCCTTCTGGGAAGATTTTGGAAAGCTCGCCATGCAAGCCGGACTAGAAACACCGAGCAGAGATTCTTCCTGCGGCTTGGCGTCCAATATCCAAGGTAGCCAAGGAGCGTGCGATAGCACACAAAACACACGATACACAGCACGGCTTACAAACTCGTGCTTATTTGCTCCAAATCCGTTCAAGAGCATCGCTTTTGCTGTCGAGCCTAGCGCACAGCGTGGTGCGAAGTATCTTTACTTGTAGATTGTGGCGATGTTGGCCAACAGAGCTGGCATGTTACGGTGACATGTTCTCCTACGTATGTACCGTCACCGAGATAAGCGTTGCTCATCTGCGACATACGACGCCTAGCACACCATGAGACTTTGGCCTGGCTCTCTGAGCTGGAACAAGCCCTGGGGGGCCGGGTAATGCTCCGCGCGAGCCGCTGGTTTGAGGGCAGGGAGTATCGGTATCATCGCCAGAACCTCCCAGACTTATCAAATCGCATGCTTTGTGCCAGCACAGCACAAGCCCGAGTCTTCAGCTGCGCGCTCGCTCATCGGCACGGCACATGATTATGTGCCGTTCAGCAGCACCATCGCCATGGCGCAGCGATCGATGCGATGGACACAAGCATATCAAGGGGCTGGAATGGCTAGCATTTCCCGCCTGACACGACTGTGCAGTGATGCTGTCAGGCCTGCTTCGCCATCCAGATGTGCACGTTGTCTCATGACTGGCAGAGGCAGATCCCAAGAGTGCAGCGCTGCCATTGGCCAAAAGGGGGCAGTAGCATCAATCATACTGCCATAAGTGGTAGGTATTACGGATTACGGCTGAGTCGCCGGACCATCATGGTCGGTCAGGCCTGCCAAGAAATGGTGAGATATGTGGCACGCCTCTGCTTGGGTTATCAAATCACACTTGCCGTCCACTGAGGCATCAATGTCTTGGGATATTACCATGGCGTGAAACCACTTGGCTAGACAGCTGGTGCTGGACGGGGTTAAAAGGAGGCGCGAACTGGCAAATTAAGCATGCGATGCGCAGCCATGTCTTTGGCCTGTCTGAGTCCCCCCTCCTTCATCTCATAGGCTGCTTTCTGCTAAGCATGTGTTACGGGTCTCACCTTAATCTCAACGACTTGGCTTGTTGAGGCCAATTTCATGTCTCAGCTATTGCGTGGGCTTGGACAGTTGGAGTTGGAGTTGGAGGCCAGCGGCCCGTGCCTGTCGGTACAGGAACGAGTACGGCGCAGGCTCAGGCAGCCACGTACTCGTACTAGCACTGTGTAATGCGAAAAGGGCCTGGTGCTGTTCTGGCTCGATATTGGCAGCTCACTGGTGTGTGAAGCCCCCCTGTAAACACCATCCGCCTCACCATTCATCTGAAGGAAGCACTAAGGTGTGAAAGGCATGCTGGTAAGTAATCCCATCCCAACGCTGCAACAGAGTGCCAGCACTCCTACTTACGTATCAATACGAGCTGGGTAGCCTGGCAAAGCCTGATGCGTAGTACCGATACTTTCAGCACGCCAAGGTTAGCACGCACAGCTGTTATGCGTCTCTCCCTAGTCCTAGTCCTGTATGACGTCGGCCAGCCTCTACTAGCGATGCAATGCATTAACAGGCTTTTCAACAACAGGGCTCAACAAGTTTTATCTTCCACTTCGTCTCAAATGCTACTAGCTGAGGTCACGCCCGCAGGCTAAGGCGAGGCCAAAGAGTCCGGGAGTGAAAGAGGCAAGATAAACGAGATGCTTCGTATTTGCGCTAGAGGAAGGGTCAAGCATCGTCAAGCGAGCCAAGCAAGGCTGGCGCGGCCCTTCTTGGCGCATGTACGCCTGTATCACGTCGAGCCGTGCGGTGACAACCCATTATTATTTATCAGATTTGCGATGCATGCAAATTTCACACCCATTGCCTATTACGTGAAGAGGGAGGGTAATGGCTAGCATGTTAATCACGGTGCCTAAGCTGACGACGGACATGTACTTTCGTGCCCTGAGAGAGTTGATCCGTGGCGTCCGGTGTGACTGGACGCCGCTATCGGCGACACGACACAAGAGATGATTGAATGAGGGGCTTTTGGTGTTCTGGGCAAAGTCCACTGATACTGGAAGACATGGGTTTAGGCGCAGTATGTCGCATTTCTAAACGGTTCTGCAAAGTATCGACCGCTGATGCCTGATTTTCGGCCATGCAGGGAGAACAACGGAGCATGACAAGACTACGAACCATTGCATACAAACACGACGAGGCGTGCTCTCGTAGCAGAGGGAGCACGACTCGAGGCTTTAGAGGATCGAGACAGACACCAGCCAGACAGGCCCCGTGGGGGTCTGGCCTTAATTGGTGCAAAAAGACCGCTGCAGCCAGTCAGATAAAGGGAGCGGCGCAAGCTAGCACGTGTTAGCGAACAGAGGCTGCCGTGAGTTGGGGCGGGATGGACACACCCACTCCCATGGTTTCTTCCAATCCAAAGGAATGGTTGAATTCATGGAAGGGCAGAAGCCATCTTGGTGTGTTTTTGCGGCTGTCACTAGCTGTACGGGGAAGAGTGGATTGGAGGAGACCTGAGTGTGGCGAGGCCAAGGAAAACCAGCAGAAGGGATCATCGCTGTTCCATCGATCAACATCATCGATATCATCATCTGCTACGCTGCTTGGCTGTATCAGCGTCGACATCTAGTCATGTCGCGCTGCTGCGTCGGT